CGCTAAGAATTCAGCACTGCCCTTCAACCCGATTTACACAGTTCCAAATACAATTATTATTGGGACGGACTGATCCCCCGTCTAAGGAATCCCACCGGCTGTGTATAGATTAAGAAACAGAAAAACCTGCCAAGGTCTACAAGGGCTGCAGAGCCACAGAGAGACAAATACAACTACAGTAAAACTTGGTTATAGCAACATCGGTTTCTGCGACACCTTGTCTATTGCGTCAGATATTCAATGGTACGAACTAATTCCTCATAAATCAACTGTTTTTATACCTTGCTTAGTACGACATGCACAAATGCATCAACCTCGTATGTAACGTCATTTTCATTCCTGAATTTCTCTGAGATGAACATTGAACGTAATTTAGAAAGTGTGTATTGGGCAAGTAACAGGAAACAGATGAAGATAACTGATTACTGTACTCGTATCTAGGTACAGTAAGGCACAACAATTGATGTAATCTACTGTAATTTGGTGAGTAGGCCTACCTTTAATATACAGTATTAGTGCGGTGTGTATTGTCAGTGAAAAGCGCTGTAATATGTCTTTGATATTACACATTTGGGCAATTCCACGTTAATGTTACGTTAGTCTGTGCTTAACTACGTATTTCACTAAAATGTGCAACATTTTAACTCGGTTTTTGGTAGATTTTTACGTGACTAACATAAGGCTACTGTGGAAGTGCCCATTTCGGTTACAACGGTATTTGTTTATAACGACACTATTTTTAGGTCCCTTTGATGACGTTATAACCAAGTTCTACTGTATTTACATCTGCCTCTTAGTTAGTAGTTTAGTTTTAAGTTTAGCTTAAGTTTCTCCCCTTCTCCCACCAGGCCCCAACCTATTGATATACGGAGGGGAACTAATGAGCTCCCCTCCACAAGTCATTTCACACAACTCACAACAATTTGCTAAATGTATTCATACAGATTGCAAATAAATGGGGATCTCAAAAAAAAAAAATTACATCTGCCATGTGTACCAACTTTTCTGTTGCAACACGAACTTTCCGCAACGAAGGTCTGTGATGCTTTAACGGTCTAGATTTCTATTCGAGAGGTATTCAGTTAGAATCTTGGCTGGAACACCACCTATGCTAACTGAGGATTTCCATTGTTTTCCTCTGCACCCTCTAGGAAAATTTAGATTGAGCCATGACCACTTCATTCCAATTCTTTTTCGAGTTCCTCCTTTGCCAGTCATGCTGCTGCTCGTCGCCGTGTTGTATAGTTGCCGAGAGTGTCTAAAATGTAGCACAACCACCTCCCAGTCTCTCACGTATTTAAATATTGAAGTATTTGCAGTTTTTCTTTCTTGCTCTTATTTTGCCCCATGTTATCTCACGCTCATAACATATTATACATACATTAACATAACATACCACTGAATTCACACATTTTTTTACAGCTTCAAATATATGGAGCTGCTCATGGATCTACCTGGTCGCTATTTTATCAAAGATCTATATACTTTTCCATTGAAGTTTACCAGCGCCTAAATAAAATTAAGTTTTCTCCGACATTCAGTACTGTCATAAATGCCAAGAAAGTTCGTTGCCGGTCACGGTAGCCGAGCGGTCTAAGGCGTGCACTGCCTTCGCTCGCTCGGAAGCCGGGATCGTGGGTTCGAATCCCACTCAAGGCATGGATGTTTGTGTGCATTTTTCTGTGTTTGTATACAGGTAGAGACCTTGCGACGAACTGGTCACCCGCCCACCGAATGTGTAAGATCTAGAAAAACCGAAGTGAACGGAGACGTTCATGGAGGTAGGCCTAGGTCCACTGGGGCTGTAGTGCCAAGGGGAAAAAAAAGAAAGAAAAAAAGTTCGTTACGGCAGTAACGCTGTGGACTTGTATTGGGGAGATGCACCTTTTGAATGCCGTCTATCCAGGTTCAGAGCCTTCGTGGCTTTCATCAGTCCCTCTAAGGGAATTGCCGTGTTAACAAGAGCCCTCCAGTGGTCCCGATCCAGAGCCACACCAGTCCAGTCAATACCACCCCATCCTATCTCTCTTAAGATCCACCTTAATATTATCCACCCACCTAAGTCTTGGTCTTCCTAGTGATCTCTTCCCTTCTGGCTTTCTCACCAATATCCTATATGCATTCATCTTCTCTCCCATTCGTGCTACACGCCCTGCCCATTTTATTCTTCTTGACTTGATCATTTTAATTATACTTGGCGAAGAGTACAAGTTATGAAGCTCCTTATTATGGTGTTTTTTTTCCCCAACCTGCCACTTCATGTCTCTTCGGTCCAAATATGACAACACCCAAACTGTAGTCCTCTGCAGTCTGTTGTAATATAACTTTAATTAGAATTATATTTCTGAAGCAATCTCAATAAATTCTCTTACCCTCTTAAGGAGAAGGTAATGTGGACTTTGAGGTTCTTCTGGCGGTGACTGTGAGGACTTCTGATTCTGGTATGTGACGACACGTAGACTTGTAATTATATAACAATTTGTTGGAGGAACAGGCTGCCTTCGTAACGTCTCCATAGATGATATCAATATGAAATTTTAACTTCTTTCAGCCGTGCATTTGAAGATCACTTTTTTTCTGGATGTGTCTCGTCCTGTAGTCCAATATTTAGTGACGTTTCGGAGGAACGCAGACCAGGCTACACTTCATCACATCCCATAAGATATACATGTTCATAATCACCGACCTGAGTACCTTTAACGTTATACCCTTATCGCATCCGGGGAAGCGATACTGTGTAGTCTTTCCCGTGAAAATTGAGAGAACGCTTTACTCCGAAACGCCTGAACATTCCAGCACACAGTAATCGGCAGTGTATTGTAATTCTGAAATAAATATAATTTTGAACTCAAAATTTAAACCAGATATTTAACCCATAATGTTTCAGTAGGAATAATGGTCATATTTTGCCGTAAGAGTAAATATTTCCATTTCTCTTCATGCGTCACTTATGTGTCTTGGTTTGCAGCAACGAATTGCTGTGGTGGAAAAGTAAACCTAAATCTTAACTTTTTTTTTTCCATTACTGCTACGAAACTGCATGTAACGTAGTTCATGAAGAAAGCAGTCTTCTGGGAAGTGGCACCGTGTAGATTTCTATTTTTCTATTTCTTATTTTTCCTTCTACCCTGAATATGGAGGCGATACGTTCCTCCGAAACGTCGGTTAACACCACTCACGGTGCCACATCCCAGAAGACTGCTTTCTTCAAGGTCCATATTTGTCAGCGTTTTTGTGTGAGACACTGATAAACTCATCCGACAAATTATAATGCCCTTATATTACTAACTAAAAGTACAAACAACGGAAAATACGAACAAATTCGTGTCCCATATATATTGTGACGTGCATCCAGGAAGGCCTGACAAGACGTCCATCACTAATCAACGGCTAGTAATGCCTGAGAAATCGTTGCCCCGGAGATGAAAGACTAACAGTACGGTTTCCATCGTTACACGTATTTGTAACGGAATGTATTCCCGCGGCAACAAGAGATTAGTTGCATAGCAGCGGGCGAAACGAATCCCTTCGACAAGGTGTTCCGTGTTCAGTCCGAGTGCAGGATATAACAGTCCAACTTCGGCAAGAGACCGGATGCGGTTGGATGAAGAGCGCAGAAAGATGCCAGCAGAACACCTCGGAAATGGAAGAGAGGAAGAACCTTTAGGCTGTTCGGGGACGAAGAAAATAAGACACCAAGACTTACTGACTGACTGGACGTCAGTCGCAATGTGACTTTGACTTTGACTTGAGACCAGTCAGAACACCTACATAAGCCGAGAGCCACAGACAGAAATACAGTTCCCCCGTGTGGAGGCGGGGTCGAATACCTCCACCGTGACCCTGCGAGTCGTAGGAGGCGACGAAAAGGGAAGTCTCAAATCTGAGACAGTAAAATATGGTCGCGCGTTCCAAGGGACTCAGACCCGAGAAAGACTGCACTGGCAAGGGCCAGCATCATATACAAAAGGTAGACCCGTGCTCTCGTCAAAGAGGGCGCCCCACAAAAACAAGACCGTAAATGTCAAAGAGTAATAAATATCTGGTCATGAGCCCCAGATGGGGGTCGACACCAAGACTTACTGACTGACTGACCGTCAGTCGCAATGTAACTTGGACTTGGACTTGGGAGACCAATGAGTTTAACTTCGACGAGAGCTAAGGACAGTTGAGCTCCTAGCAGAGCAGAAGACACTTCACCGAGATTAGCGGTACGAGAGTGTATAACACTGAAGAGGAAACGTCCGAAGGCGCTATAAGTGCGATTAATTGTATTTGTGAGTGTAAAGGGCGATCGTCCAATAAATATTCGTCCAAATCCGAGAAATGTTAATATGTGTTTATAAGTCAGTGCTATCTTTTAAACTATCCACTGTTCAAACTCCTATTTGACCAGTGGAATTTTAAGATCAGTGTCTGGTGAACATTCGCCTCAAAGGTATGTTCGTAACCTCACAAGCATTGAAATGGAAACGTGGCGTGCGTTGTACTTTTCAGTTTGTTTATTTGTGTCTTATGTAGCAATGCTGCCCCTATCTCAGACTGCACAGCGTTGATAAGTAGGATGATTTTGTGAACAATGATTTGGAAAGGATGTGAAACAAGATGGTCATGACGTAATCTTACATACTATCCCAGCACTGCTATTCAGATTCGGAAGTTGGTTACAAATGTTTTCCCGACATTCTGTAAAATATTAAACTGACCTACATATTTTAATAGAGACGCATTATCATTAGCCACGATATAAAAACGTGACACATTAAAGATATAAACTGCAATAAATAGGAACAATATGTTTGTTTTATAAACCGCCTCTTTGTCCAGCCTAACACTGCAGAACGCAAGCAGAGAGAATATCCCTGTGATAGTAACATGAGAATCGATTATAGTTGGGCGGAGCGTGCGCTTTGCGTTTGGTTTTTCACAGTAGTTGCTGTGTATAACCGCTACGTGGCGTTGCCATCTTCGCGCTGGCGCATGAGATGAAAGTGACTTTAATAAAGGCTAAAGAAAAAGATAAAAAAGGGCTACGACCGATTGCATCTTGAAAGTGTTGGACGGAGCAAGGGATAACACATGCACATCCAAAGTGTGTCGGTTTGATAAACATAGAGAGGTCGCGAGTGATGCAGAAGCGGCAAGGCTGCTGCTGTCGTAACGTCAGTGTTTGTTTGGAAACAACAGCGTGTGTGTAGGAGGTTAGGTTGTTTTGTATTCAGTCTGTCGCAGAGTTAGGTCCAGTAGAAACGTTCGTGCGTGGAAACGGGAGCATGGAGCTGACGTGAATGACTGCATTGCAAGGTGGGTAGCGTGACTTCTTAGAGAAACGCAAGATATAAATGCACGTTTGGTATACAAGAAGGCGGCGTTGCTATGTTAGATGCAGTCTTCTCGTGTTGACTGTCTGTTTGATAAGAGGCATGTTAAGTACCTTAACAAGTATGATTGATACGTTATCCTTTTTTGGCCCCCTTATAAGATGGCCCATTTAATGTTTTAAAAGCATATGATTAATTTAGAATGAACTGCGTAAAAAGGATTCAGTAGACTTTTATGGAGTAAAGTTATTTGTTCAAAAAAAAGTTTATTACATATAGTGAAGAGATATTTACGTTTATATAGACGTACTTGTTTCGACATTGAAAGATTATGATCACTGTCTTCATATGATGGTGTCTTTCAGAGTTTTCATGTGCCTTAACACAAGAAAGACAGCCTTATCGTAAACGTTTATAGAATTTCTCTCTCTTATGTTCCATCACATTCACATAAATTTATTAACTAGCTGGCATATTAAAGTAAATAAACATTTATGCTTTATGTAATGACAACGCAAGTAAATCGGAATATAAAGAATAACGAATTGGAGGGAATGTTGATGTAGTCGTCATCAGAAGTGCAACGTCCCGAATTCTTACGTATTTTCTTAATTACACAAATCCTTTTGTACATTGCAGTTTCTGTTATAATGCAGCAGTCTTCTTTCATTTAATTGTGGTCGACATAACTGTGAAACATACGGTATTGTTCCCCAGAATTACTAGGTTTTTGGACTTTGTCCATCGTCCTGTATTCCAGAAACTAGAAACCAACGTTTCGAGAACTGGATCTGTTTCCGAAACGTTGTGTTTTGTAATTTCTAGAATACTGGACGAAGGAAAAAACCCGAAAACTCAGTAATTCTGTGTATTATACACCAGCATCAGAACCTTTTAGAACAGGGTATTGTTGTCATCTTATCTTAGCAAACGGCAACATGTTTCGAATGGAGCCTATAGCCGTCATTTTTATGACGTTGATATTTATATGTGTAACGTAAATGCTCAATTAAGTACAATTTATATAACTCGAAAGTTCTTTAAAACATTCGGGTAATGTACCCATTAAGGAATATAACGCGTATTAAAATATTTAGTGTTACAAACTGTATTTGATAACAGTTCAAAGTGTTGATATTAACTTGGCCCATAATTTGCTAATGTCTGAGAGTAAGTGCTTGTGTGCCTTTATTAAGAATTTGCCATGGCCCAGTAACTGGTTAATATCGGTTCTGTAAACAACAGTCTTAGTAATTCAATTCAATGGCCGCGCCATAGCGCAAGCGATTAGTCGCTGGATTCCCACCGCGGCGGCCCGGGTTCGATCCCGGGTCTGGTGAAGTGGGATTTGTGGTGGACAAAGTGGCACTAGGGCAGGTTGTGTCCGAGTACTTCGGCTTCCCCTGCCAATCTTCATTCCACCAATTGCTCCACAATCACCCTCACCTATCATCTGGGGCTGGTACAATAGGCCAGAAGTGGCCGAAGTACAAGGGACTTAGTCTCACTCCACTAGCATTAAAAAAAATTCAGTTCAATTCTTTATTATGTATGTGCTGAGCCAACAGCCACACGGCCAATTACAGATACTGCACATTGCAGATAGAAGTAGTTACATACTGGACAAATACAACTTAAGTCAAATAATAATAATAATAATAATAATAATAATAATAATAATAATAATAATAATGGGAACCGGGATAGCGTAGTCGGTATTGCGACTAGCTGCGGCCTGGACGACCGAGAAGTCGGAGTTCGAATCCCAGTAGGTCAAGAATTTTCTCTTCTCTAAGGCCGCGCCATAGCTCAAGCGGTTAGTCGGTGGCTTCTCATCGCGGCGGCCCGAGTTCAAACCCGGGTCTGGTCAAGTGGGATTTGTGGTGAACAAAGTGGCGCTGGGGTAGGTTTTCTCCCGAGTATTTCGGTTTCCCCTGCCAAGCTTCATTCCACCAAATTCCCCATCATCATAATCACCCGGGGCAGGTAGGCCAATCAGTGGCCGTCGTGCTGAGTGGACCAAACTGGACTCCACCCCCCACTATGCGAATTAAAAAAAAATTAATTCTCTCATCTACGTCTTCCAGACTGGCTCTGGGGCCCACCCAACATCCTATCCAGTGGGTACCGGGGGCTCTTTCCCCGGAAGTAAAGCGGCCGGGTCGTGAAGCTGACCACTCACCTCCAGCTAGTGCCGAGGTCAAGAAAACGTGGATCTATACATCCACTCCCCCATACACCTTCATGGCGTAGTGCTTAATTAGTTAAGCACAGGGACAACTTTACCTTTTTTTAATAATTAAATTGAATTCGTTATTTATATGCCGAGTCAACAACCACAAGGCCAATTACAGACACAGCACAGTGTAGGTACAAGTAATTACATATAATAATAATAATAATAATAATAATACTGTATTATGCAAATGTTTTTTTGTATAAGTTGGATAGAAATTTGATATTTGGTATAAAATTGAAAGAGTTATTTCAGAACTAGTATTGGACTCATAATATCCATAAAATGGCACCAGAGACCCAACACACACACACACCGATTGGCAGCACGAGACTTTTACTCTTTTATTGTTTTTCAGATGTGTCAGTTTAAGGCCCAATTAATCCAACTTATGAACGATTGATATTAATTACGCTAGTATAAATCCCCTTAAAATTTGACGATTCCCATCTGTAGGTACCGTTTCCGCAGACATCCCTTCCAATTACAGGCCTTTGAGAGTCACTTTGCAGTCACAGTTTCAATGAATATGCACGCTGTGGATTTGAAAAGTTCGGTATAACAGTTTGCTAGAATACACAGGGTTGCTGCATAGAGGTATTTTTTTAATGCTAATTCGGTGGGACTAAGTTCCTTGTACTGCGGCCACTTCTGGACTATTGTACCAGCCCCAGATGATAGGTGAGGGTGATTGTGGAGCAATTGGTGGAATGAAGAATGACAGGGGAAACCGAAGTACTCGGAGAAAACCTGCCACAGCGCCACTTTGTCCACCACAAATTCCACTTGACCAGACCCGGGATCGAACCCGGGCCGCCGCGTTGGGAAGCCAGCGGCTAACCGCTTGAGCTGTGGCGTGGCCTTAACGCAAAAGTAAATCCATAAGAGGACGAGTGCTACAAGTTCATAATTTAAGATGATGAAAAAATAATTATAAACTAATGTACTGCGTTTCCAGTATTGGACTTTGTTGCCTATATTTAAATATAGGCCCACACGCTGGTGTACCTGCACGTAGTATGTACGTGTACATATAGAGGTGTAAACTGTGACGGGGAATGCTGTGCATTGTGGGCCTTGAGATGTTTGATATGTTTGCCGGTAGGGTGAGATTGTCGTCTAATTCCTGTTACAAAGCATGCAACCAGACATTAAGCTGTACTGAACGACATTAATTCAAATGCCACCACGTCCCACTCAACTGTTATTGTGTTTGTTGTGTCTAGTTTACGCTTTCACTCTGTTTGCGGTTTCGCAGACAGACCCTGAGCCCTTTGTATGCGGACCGGAACCGAGCCGACTGCGCGTATAAAATTAGCTTTTCTTAATAAAGTCTATCCAGTTCCTAAGCACCAAGCCGTGATTACATATATGGGGCATTAGAGAGAGATAGTGGTCAGGTACACTCCACAGCCGCTTTACCCCTGGAGGGAAAGATCCAGATATTCATTGGGTGTGCCCCAGATACAATATGAACTTGGCGAAATCCCTCAGTACCTATCGGGAATCGCGACGCGGCTCATAATTCTGTATGTAATCGGCTAAGCTATTTTCGCCCTCTTTGGCACATCATAAAAAGGTAAAACTGTCCTTGTAACAGGACGTGGAGGCCCACAGGGTTGTAAGACGTCCAGAGTGCCACATTTTCTAGACACTCGGCTCACAGATGACGGTGAAGTTGTCAGCCTTACGCGCCGGCCGCAGTTTTCCCCCCAAGAAGATTCCTGGTACTCATTTTTGTTATAGGCTGAGTCGACCCCAGGGCCATAATGCGGCTGGAAGGATTACGTCAATTGAAAAATCCACTGACCTCAGCGAGAATCGAACCCGCGACCTTCCGGCTTGTAGCATAGTGCCTCAACCAACTACGCTACCGCTACGTTACGGCGTCCAACACTACATGCTAGGAGGCTCGTAAGACTGAACCATAGGAAAGTTGAGGCATAATTTAAAGCGACGGCAGAGAATAAAATGCATGTGTTACGCTTTATGTTCTGCTGTTGGAAATAGTTTTTGTGTGTTTTCTGAACCCCCGAAGGAGTCTCAACTTGATTGATGGGAGCACGCAGAACTCTGTACTGAGTCGCCCGTAATGCAGAGTTAGAAGGTTCATTGCAGTGACCTGACATATTCACAGTGGGAGCTGGTAGAGTAGCAACATCCGTGGATATTGTTCCTGCGTGTTTCCAGCGATACTGATCATAATGACCACTCGATTTACGTCCATCTTAGATACCCCGGTCACTTTAATAATGCGTTTCGATCTCTCTGTGGTTTTCCTGCGTGTCTACATTTCTGTCGGTTCTTTGTATTCACTGTCCCTGTTGTGACCTGTCTCCCATCCGGGCAGCCGTATCAGATATCTCAAACATTAAATAGATTGGAACTCTATATGTTGGCTCAAGCGGTAACGCTTGGGAGTTGTTTTCGTGAGGTGACCAGTTCGACTCCCGTCCGAGACACTGGCTGTTCTGTTTGACATGTTTCGTGGCGCTCCCCAGTGCTTGAAAGAAAATACCGGGCTATATAACTGCACTATGGCCCTAGGATTGACTCAGCCACTAACAAAATGAGTACCAGGAATCTTCCTGGGTGGTAAAGGGCGGCCGGCGCATAAGGCTGACAACCTTACCGCCATCTGAGAGCCGGTTGACTACAGAAAATGTGGAAGCCTCGATATCTCACAACCCTATGGGCCTTCTCAGCCTGCTACAAAGATAGTTTTACCTTATCTTTTACCAGGGACA